TGTCCCCAGCCAGCACTTCCCAGGCTCCTGTCCTGTCCCCAGCCTCCCCAGCACTTCCCAGGCTCCTGGCAGCGGGGCAGCAGCACCCTCTACCCCTGACTCCCTCCCTCCCCCCCAGGGCTGCTTCTCCACCTTCGGCAGGACCTTGCAGAATTACATCTCTGTCCCTGGGATGTGCAGCTTGGCCGTGCTGGGCATCGAGGTACCGAGCGGGGCCGGAGGGGAGAGGGCAGGCAGCGGGTCACCTCGCGCAGGCTCTCTTTTTGCCGGGAGGGTGGTCTGTGGGTGAAGGGACCACAAACAGGCTCAGGGTGGGTGGGCCCACCCAAGCCTCTAGCTGTCACGATCACACCCAGCAAGCGGGCGCACGCGCAGCGGCTCCGTCTCGGGGTGTAAAGCCAACCTCCCGCTGCGGATGAGTCGGGTTAAAGGGCCGGGGAGGGAGGAGGTTTCTTTTGCTCCCGCAGGCCCTGGCGGGGAGGTGTGCCAGGCTCCCCGCAGACCTCGGGAAGGTCAGAAGCGCCTCCTCCACCGCGGCGTCCCCTGCGCAGCACCAGGACAGCTGGCGCGCGGCCCCTCGAGGGGGCACAGCCATCGCCCGATGCCTGGTTAGACCAGGAGCGGAGGACAGCCGCCCTTCAGCCTTCGGGCTCTCGGATTTCAGCAAGCAGCTGCAGCAAGGTGCGAGCGTGGCCCTGCAGCTCCCCCCCCCTCCTGTCATTTCAGATCTTCGCCATGTTCTTTGCCTTTTGCCTTTATTACAACTTCGACTGAGCAGGATGAAGCGCGGCAGAGACAAGCCGAGGGCTTTGGAAACAGCAGCAGGCAAGGGCGCTCCACTTCCTCGCCTATCAGAGCGCAGCTCTCTAGTTCAGCGCTCTGATTACTTCCCCGAGTCCTGTCTCTGCTCCAGCAGGCACGTAAGGACGGGCCCGGCTCGCTTCTCTTGGAGCGGGGACAGGACACAGGTTAAATTCCTTACGGGCAAACACGCAGAGCAGGAGTCTGGGCATCAAACGTGCTCCCACTGCGACCTGCCATGGGTCTTCGCAAGACGAAACAGCTCTGGTGACGGGGAGCCCTGCCCCCCGCCCACCTTCTGACCTGTTGCGCCACCAAAACCTGTCCTCCTTCCTCCCAATCCTCTCCGCCTTCTTGCCCCGCACGTGGCCTCCCTGACGCCCCGCTCTCTTCCGCGGCCGTCCCGCTCCCAGACCTCCGGGCACCCTCTAGGCTTTTCTTCATCCCTCTCAGCTGGTGCTTGTCACTGGCCACCTCCCGGAGACGCAACGGAGTCGAGACACAGCCCGGGTCGCGTTACGTGGTCCAAGGTGCAACTGGACTCTGTCAGGCTGCTCTGGAGAGCAGGAGTTTTAAGTCTTAGGAGTCTTTAAGTTTTAGTGACCGACTTGCCCTTTAGTAGCCTTGACGTTACAAGGAAGATGAAGCCTTTACTAGAGAAGGATTTCCACAAACTAGTCCTAACGCGGCTGTTGCTCAGCTTCCGCTCTCAGTTTGTTCTGAGGCAGGATCAGCAAAAGAGAAACCGAAATACGTGGTGCCCTTCCCCTTTCTCTGAGAGAAAGCTGGAAAGCGGAAGCTGAACCGGTACTTCCAGTTTTCCTTTTCTTGGGAGTATTCCAAAACCTCCACACAACGAAACAGAAAAATATAAATGAATTAAAGCTTTAGATTTTATTTACATAATGGAACTTCTCACAACAAAACCTTAGGAAATAGAAAAACCAAGCCTGCTACAGCTACATGCTGGTTAAAATATTTAGGCACACCTGTGTAAAGAGAAGAGGACGGTGAAAGCAAAGGCGACGGCCACAACCAGAACAAGAACCACCTAGGAATCCAGGCGAGATTTCTTCTCCTTCTTGCTGATGTTACTCCCTTTCCTTTTCTGCGCGGTGGATTCATCGCTGCTACTCGTTTCCCTTTGGTTTATTTTCTCTTCCAAAGGCTTGGAAGCCTGCGATAAACACAAGAAATAAAAGTAACCGCTGTGACTAGCTTAGTTTGACAGCCCTCAGCACTGCCGCGCGCTCCCGGCTCTGCGTGCGTACACCTCCGAACACCCCGCGCTCCACGAAGATCAGAACCGACCGCGCTTCCAGCTTTTATGCAGCGACCCTTAATTATCCCGCTCCCGCTGCTGGAAATTTTAGGAAGGGGGAGATGACAGGAGAGCAGGATGATGGTTGAGCCTTGAAGCGCCACATAGACGTATAAGCCAGGTCTCTCTGGGACTAAGCGTGTCGGGGTGAAGATCTCTTCACCCCCAGCCCTTTTAACAACCCAGACGATGAACTTGCAAATGTGTCCGGAGCTGGAGTAGCGAGCGCCACCCGTGGGGCTTCCAGGTAGAAGACATCCCCCTCTCGGGAAGCGTGTTGTCCAAGTCAGGTGCAGGGAGGGAGAGCAGCCAGGTAAGGGGGAAGGTCCGAACAGAACTGATTTTTGGGAACAGGTTTTGATCTGCTCAAGTGCAATTTATTTTTTATATTTTTTTATCTCCTCTGTGAGATAAGTCAGGGTGCAGAACAGAGGCAGAAAAGAGGAAGGGTGATGGCAGGAAGGCTGCACTCGCCAGGGATTAGGGAGACCAGTCCATGAACGGATGAATGGGGGGAGAACAGGCGTAGCTGAGTGTAAGGCACAACCACAGCAGAACACGGAGTCTGGTAGCGACGGGGCAGGGGGGGAAGCGACGGGGCAGGGGGATCCACGGGGAGGGGTTTTATCAGGCTTCAGTCTTACTCGTCCTTCATTCTTCTTGAAGAGCACTGCAATTATTTGCGAATGAACACATTTATTTGGAAGCAGTGAATCTAACGGTCTTAAAAAAAAAAAGTATAATGAAATGAAATACACATCCAAAACACAGAACAGAAGGGGAGGAAAGAAAGAACGCTGCCAAAGACAGCCGCACAAAGTAATCAGGAACGGCAAATTGAGACAAGACAGACTGTTCCCAAAGAGGGAGCTACACTCAGCTGAGGAAGCAGAGCGTGTTCCTTACCCTCTTCTGCTGGCTTGCGTATTTCTCAGTCCACTCTTTGGCATTCAGCAAGAACAGTTGCCTGTTGTACTTGTACTCTGAGGACTAGATGTAATGAGCAAGACAAAGACAGAGATTTGATTTCATACAAACACCACACCGAGAAGCTGGGACTAAGGTCTGGCTTTAGGACTCCTAGAACCGGACCAAAACCGCGACAAGCACGCAGCATGAAGCCTAAAATTCATTTCGCTTGCTTAAGTTTGCCTGGAGAAGGCACGCTGCCGTTTGCACTGGCAGGCCTGAAGACAAGACCTTCACCATCTCTTTTCCACTGCTGGCATAAACCCTGTACCGCTCGCCCCGCCTGCTTCAGGGCAACGCAGTCATGCCCCCAGGCCTGATCCAGATCAAGCTACGCTGCTACGTAATGTGCTAGCGTGTTAATCCAGAGCGAGTGAAGTGGAAGCACAGCCTAAGTCTAACACACCGTTCCCTCCCAGTCTGTGCCCACGGCCACAAGAGAGGAAGAGGAGCTCACGTACTATGTCTGCCATGAGAGGGTCATCAGGGTTGGGCTCCGCCATCAGCAGCTGGATGGAGGTCAGCAGCGTGGAGATGTTCAAGGAAGGTCTCCACGCACCCTTCAAGGAAACGGGGCGAGAGCAGCAGTTAAGCAGAAAGAAACCTGCCCACGGGCTGCCTGGAGAAACCCCAGGACTTACAGCATTTAAACCCAACCCGCCCGCAAGCTGCCTCAGGACTTAGAGCACTTAAACCCCCACGGAAAACACCAGATCCGTTCTCAACACACAGGCTGTGGCCTCCCCGAGGAAGCCTGACCCACAACCACAGGCTGTGTCCTGCGCCTCTCTGCTGGGTCGGTATTGGGGTAGCCCATTTTCCCAGGGCCACCTAATGCCTTTTGACTCCAATCCTTAAAACCTTGGAAACTTATATGGAACAAAGAAGGTCATGTTCTAGTCTTTAAACAAAGGAGATGCCGCTCAAAAACTTTACTCCCGTGCTCCTGTGTAAATAAGACAGTAGCAAACAGACATTCAATAAGGCTTTTACAAGAAAAAGATAAGGAGTTCATTATCCTCTTCAGGCTCACTTACCCGTGCCCAAGTAGTGCTGTCTTACCTTTGGTGGTAATTTAAGAACATCCAGGCAAATCCTTCCAGCAGAGTCAATGTTAGGATGATAGATAGGGGTCAGAAAGCGAATCTTCGGGGGCTCAAACGGGTACCTTTGAGGGATAAGTGTTAAGAAACAAAAAATTACTTTCATATTTGTACGCCAGTTGCTTCATCACCCAAGCAATGCCATTATTTCCTTCTCCCAGCCGTTTACTGACATCCTTCCCCACAAATTTTTGGAGGAGGCAGCGCTCTGCCTTCGATGCTTTCAGCTGTGTCCGACTAGCACTCTCCTGGGTAGCTTTCCACAACGAAGCAAACGTGATGGGAAACTTTCTACTCAAGAAAGAGCTCCTTTCCAGAAAGCTTTAAGACAATATGATAAGGTAGAGATCTTGTCATAGTGCTTTTAGGTCGTTAATCGCACATCTTAGGGTGTCCAGTGTGAAATAACTGTATCAGCCAATGGAAATAATAATTACATTCCATAAACGAAGGAATGTAATCAACCGCATTCTTTGTTGGGAGGCTAAAGGAAAGACCAAAATGGTAGCACTTATATCAAACACCTTCCGTCAGTTAACTTGTAATTGAAGGAAGCACTACACCAGCTACTGAACTAGATGTCGTTGCTCACTTACCTTTCAGGAACAACTATTTCCAGGTTGAATATTCCTTTCTCATATGGTGTGTCAGCAGCTCCTAAAATTTCTTTAAAAGCAAGATTAAAACACAAGCATTACATTCAAAAATCACTCGAGTTTGTCCAACAGTCTCCACGTACCCCCCCCAGTGACAGAACTCGTAACACTGCTCAGATCCAGGAATAAAATAAAAAAAAAGGTCCATCTGATCTGAGACCAGTTCCACCCCGCAGCAATCAAAACTGTAGGCAGACCGACCGAGCCACAGGCCAAGCTGTATTTAAAGGGAAACAAAAACAACCCCCCCTAAGCGTTTTCCCAAATTCCATGCGGCTTATAAAGGACACGCCACCCGGCGAATCCAGATCTAGCAGCGAGCTAATACATCCCTTACTTATAGAAGAGTCCCACCAGGGAAGTACGTACGTGCTCGTAGGTCATCTAGCCCGTGTTCATTTTGCCAGCAGGTGATGCCTGGAGGTGGCTCTGTGGTCAAGAGGGAGAGCTCCCTCTTCAGTCGCGATGCTCTTTGCATTGTGCTGAAACTCTAAGAGACTGGGTTTTATTGCCGGCAAAATTAGCTTTTCAAAAATAGCGCTTAACATTGAGACCTTTTTTTTTTTTTTTGGCCAAGAAGAATTAACCTGGGTTTCAAGTTGTTATCCTGATGTGATAACCAGAGTCTCAGGAGCCTGTTCCTGGAGCTGCTCTCGCACCCAGCTGGAGGAGGAGAACCAGATCCCCGCCCTTTATAATCAGTCCTACTCCTCAGTCCCCAGCCGAGTCTCATAAACCCTCCCAGCCCACGCCCGGGCTCCACACCCCTAACGGGGCTGTAACACCTGCCCTGGGATGGCATTCGTCCCTTTGGGGTGAAATACTGTCCCTTCACGGACAGGGATACCCATTGCCCTGCTGGGGCCATCTACCCCCAGAGGTGCCTTAGACTGGGATACCCACCAACGCCCCCTTCCTCCGACACCCCCCAGCAGTCAGGGACCCTCTTCCCACCCCAGAGGCACCGCGCTCTCTTTGGAAAACCGAAAGCTGCCTCAGGGATGGGATACTCCCTACTGCAGGAATGCCCATGACACCCCCCAAGGCAGGGACCTCCTCCCCCCGCGCTGCTCTGCCCTGCGCATCTCCACGGACAGGGAACCCCTTCCTGAGCTTACAACCCCACCTCCCACGGACAGGGACACCCCCTGGCCTCCCCCGAGGGGGGACAGCCGGGACCTGGCTCACGTAACCCACCCCAGACCTACCCGCTC